AGAGGAAGGAATTTGCTGCTTCTGGAGCACCCAACCTCTGAGGGATCAAGGTGGAAAAGAGCCAATTTCTGTCCAGTCAGACTCTCAGGGGTGTCCCATTCACCCGAGAGCACTGAAGTCGGTGTATTTGTGTCCCATGGCACAGGCTGGTCCCTGGTGTGGCTGCACCTGTGCTGGGTGTGGTGGGAGCTGTGGCTGAAGCTCTTCCTGGAGATGTCTCAGGCAACGGGCTTCCTACCAGTGTGGGTCAGACTGTGCCGGGTGAGATCTTCCTTCCTGATGAACCTCTCACCACAATCCCCACAGACGTACGGCCTCTCCCCAGTGTGGATGCGGCGGTGCACGGTGAGGTGGGTCTTAAGAGTGAAGCTCTTGCTGCAGAGGTCACAGACGTAGGGTCTCTCCCCAGTGTGGGTGCGCACGTGCGCCGTGAGGTAGGTCTTCCGGGCGAAGCTCTTGCTGCAGATGTCACAGGCAAAGGGCTTCTCCCCAGTGTGGGTCCGTAGGTGACAGATGAAGCCAGACTTGTTGCTGAAGCGCTCACCGCAGTCCCCACAGACGTACGGCTTCTCCCCAGTGTGGGTGCGGCGATGCACCGTGAGGTGGGATTTCGCAGGGAAACTCTTCCCACAGTCCGTACAGGCGAAGGGCTTCACCCCGGTGTGGGTGCTCATGTGATACTTGAGGGCGCTCTTTTTGGTGAACTTCTCACCGCAGTCCCCACAGACATACGGCTTCTCCCCAGTGTGGGTGCGGCGATGCACCGTGAGGTGGGATTTCGCAGGGAAACTCTTCCCACAGTCCGTACAGGCGAAGGGCTTCTCGCCGGTGTGGGTCCGTATGTGATACGTGAGGCTGGACTTCTGGGTGAAGCGCTCACCGCAGTCCCCACAGACATACGGCTTCTCCCCACCGTGGGTGCGCTGGTGCTGGGTGAGCGTGGAGCTGTGAATGAAGCTCTTGCTGCACTTGTCACTGGCAATGGGCTCCCCAGTGTGGGTGCAGTGGTGCTCGGTGAGCTGGGATTTCGAGGTGAAACTCTGCCCACAGTCAGTACAGGCAAAGGGCTTCTCCCCCGTGTGGGTCCGTC